TAATGCATGTTGTAGGAACGTTTTTGTTGGACGGAACCAGAAACGTCTGTTTCTGTAAGACATCTTGGGAAGTGGTTATCTTGCAGCATAGCTAGAGATTTGCCACTTTTACTAGTGTGATGAAGGATATTACCAAGAGTTGAGTTTGGTTGGTTTTTATTTGGAAGGAGCAGCTGAGGTCCCGCTCCAACGATCAAAATGTCTCCGTTCTTTTACAATATTTCTTAAGTCTAAGTAAGGCTAAGTCTCGTAGCAGCGCTGCTCGCAGGCGGCGGCAGAGAGATGGCTATGCACTTATATATAAAGGAATATAATAATATACGTTGTTATGCGCTCTCAAGTGGAGGCGCGAGGGGTATGCATATGCTGACCGTTTGTTACGATTATGCTGACACTAGCACTTTCTGTGTGCGGGCTAAGCCATAACGATCGGTTCATATTTCGGCCACTTAGGGTTTATGACCGGGACTTTGGATTATGTAAAAACTGCAACAAAGTGTTACAGTGCGCATCCTTTAAGTACTCTCGGTACAGTGGGTATTCAATATATGTATGTGCATACTACACTAGTCCAAGTGCCATCTCCTTTTTCGAGATAGCCTAGGGTTGTTTTGCAAGCCTATCCTAACCGATTTTTGTTTTGTTTTCTATGTCCGTGTAGAAAGAGTTCCATAAGGATCGCTTCATTTTCCGGATGGCTTTTTTATATGTGGCCAGTGGAGAAGGCCGGTGTGGAGGCCGGTCCAGAGGCTTCCTTGTTCCCGTCTTTCGCCCTGTTGAGCAAGATTCTGCTGGCCGCTTGAAAGGTGGCTAGCTCTGACGACCACCAGGAAGGCTTGATTCGCTTTTTTTTGGCTTTGTTTTGGGGCATGCCTTTTTTTAAGCGTTATTGCAGGCTTAAATGAATGCTGCACCAGAGTATTCAAGCTTTCTATTGCTTGTTGGTCGCAAGGACTTGGGAATATTACGACCAGTTTATTTTCCTGGGCTTTTGAAAAATGTTTGGCTTTCAGCTTTAAAAAAAAAATTATAGATGTTTTTTTATGTAAATGTGGACGAAAAAAGAGTGCTTATATAGCACTATTTAGTGAGATACAGAATGTCTGTTTGGATATTTATGTTAAAGTTATCGATTCCCTATTGTTTTTAGGGTTAGATAGTTTCTAGGGATTCCTGTTTTTGGAATAATACCGAGTTACGACACAATACGATAATACGACATACCGAGTTTGATAAGGATCGGCCGACCATATACTGTACTTGTTATATTAATGAAAAATCGGAAACGACCCAGCTTTCGTGCTTTTAAAAATAAAACGTTTGAACTTTTTACAGATAATATTTTTTGCCAATTGATCCGACCAACTGGCCTCATCAGGGCTACTCGATGTTGCAGAACCTCTAGTTCTGGGACATCCATATATTGTGATTGGGCGGGAATCCCCATGGTAAATTCTGATGTTGTGTCTATGGCACTGGGGGGCAAAACAAACACATGTTTAAAATTTTGCGTGTATGTTTTTTTTTTTTTATTATGACAGGTGTGGTTTTATTTAAAACAGTCCAACAACCATTAAATATTGTGGCAGAAAACTTGGCTTATGTGTAACCTCTTATGTAAGAGGTGGAAAAATAAGAAAGTCTAAGAGTAATTCCGGATGAGGTCCAGCGGGTGAGTTCTGCGCAGCTGCCGCATCTGTTCGCTGTTGTCGAGGAGAGTGGTCGCCAACTCGTTGGGGTGGTTGTGTAGTCTCAGAATGTACTTGCTTCTGCTTCTCTGGATCTCCTCCTTCACCTATGGGAAACCAAGCACCTCGTGGATTGTCTGGTTGTCGTGGTAGACGTGGGACCCAGTGGCGATACGGAGGGCTCTATTTTCAAACATCTAGATAGTCTGAATATAAGTCTTGCTGGCCGTGCCCCAAAGTTGGATCCCTTATGTCCAAACTGGCCGAATAATCGCCTTGTGGATTAGGATTTTCGAAGAGCTTCGACTTCCTACTCATCAGCCAACAGTACGCCTTCAATCTTACTTCACACTGCTTTCGCTTTTTGACTAGGTGAGGCTTCCAAGTATGCCTCCTGTCTAGCGTGAAGCTCAGGTATCTTGGGGTTTCTACTTGTGGGATGGGGGAGCTGCTGAGGTGGACCGGTGGACCCGACGGAGAGAAAATGTGGTGGCGGTGGAAGGATTTCACCTTCTCTGCCAATCGCCGAGAATATCTAGTTGCTCCTGCATGACAGCAACTTCCTCTGTAGCGTTGTCAGCAGCAGTCAGGAAGGCGGTATCGCCCACATAGGTCGCTGCCATTATGTTGGGGCTCCGCAAAACTGGAAGATCGGCCGTGTAGATATTGTATAATAAAGGGCCCAGCACGCTGCTTTGGGGGACTCCGGTGCGGACCTTCCTGAGTCCGGAAGTGGAACGACTCCAGAAAGATGTAGTAAGGTCTGGGAAGGTTAGTCTTCAATTTAAGCAGGAGACCGGAGTGCCAGACCCGGTCGAAGGCTTGTTTGACATCCAGCATTACAGCCAGGCAGTACTTCTTGGTTTCGAAGGCGTCCAGGATATACTGCACCACTCTGTGGCATTGTTCCGGGACGATATGAGGCAAGATCGGCTTCGGGCTTTCCGGGCTTGGGTATCATGGGTACCAGAGCATGTTTACCCAATTTCTAAGCATCTATTATAAATTTTCGTCAGTTGCTTGGAGGTGGCAGCAGTTTTATTGCGGCTGCATTGATGACATCATCGCTCGGGGCCTTGTTGTTGCTCAACACTGAAATCTGTGCGGCTGTCTCTTCTTCCGTCACAGGTGGTATCTGTCGTCGCCTCGTGCGGGCTCTGCCAAGAGTTGTTCCGTTTCTGCTGCCTCCTATGGCGAGCAGCGGTAGAAAGGAGAGAATTTCGTGACGCGCCACAGATTGTTTTGTGGGTCACACGGTTCCAACTGTTCAACGAACCCGTAGAACGCTTCCTTCCTCAAGTCCGCCAAGAGTTCAGAGAGCCACTTGGAGACTCTATTCAGGTTGGTCTTGTCCCTCGGGTTTCTGGACAGCATCCAGACCCGCCTGAGTCGCCGCTTTTCCAGCTTGAGAGCCGTAACGTCTGGATTCCAAAAATGGATGTCCCTGTCAGTGGCTCTTAGGCGGTTCGAAAGCCTTGGCTGCTGCAGCTTGGATTTGTGCGGTCAGTTCATCGACGGCCGCTTCAATCTGGTCAGGGGATTCCAAAGTTGTGTTGAGATCCGCGGCAGAGCACATCCAGGACTGGAATATCCCGATGTCCGTCGTCTTATAAATAGGCTTCTTCTTCTGCGTGTATGTGTAGCAAAGAAAACAATGAGAGCAGAGCATTCACTGAGCGAAAAAAAAGTAGTTTCTTATTTCATTTCTCGTTCAAAATTTGGAATTCAACTCAAAAGTTGGAATGAGTCAAAATGATAGCATTGTAAAAAAAAAAGAGTAAATAATAACGGTCCGAGATGATTTCCTTGAGGGACGCCAAATGTAGCACGGACCAAACGGGAATGTACATTTTTGAATAAGACTCTTTGTGTTCTTCCATCTAAGAAGCTGAAGAATCCCAGCTTATTTAGTTTACTCAAAAAGAGTGAGTGATTGACTGAATCAAATGCTTTGCTGAAGTCTGCGTAAATTACATCGGCTCGATATCCCTTACGAAAGCCATCTATGACAAAGGATGTCAACACCATTAAGTTCGTGGTGGTGGAGCGACGCTTCATAAAGCCATGTTGACAAGGAGAGATGATCGAAGAGCAAAGGTGTTACAGATGGGGAGCAACTAATTTTTCAAATAACTTTGGGATTGCCGATAATTAGAGATGCCTCTGTAGTTGGCAGCACCTTTTTTATGTAAGGGAATTATGAAAGATTCCTTCCACTTAAGGGGAAAAGTCGATGTTTCCAAAGATAAGTTGAAAAGTCTATGAAGAGGTTTGCGCAGAGCCGAGAAAAAGAGGCGAGAGAAATAAAAATTCATTCATTCTATCCATTCGAATGTATTATATGGCTAAGGCAATAAGAATGTTTCTATCCCGACCTCTATTACACACATACATTTGTTTATATTACTGATTGAACACTTTTATACCCTTGCAGAGGGTATTTTAATTTTGGTCAAAAGTGTGCATTGCAGTGTAGGAGACATCTCCGACCCTTAAAAATATATATTCTTGATCACCTCCTGAGTTGATATGAGCATGTTCAATTGTCTGTCCGTCTATCTGTCTGTTTCTACGCAAACTAGTCTCTCAGTTTTAACGAAATTTCTATCAACTTGAAATTTTGAAACTTACTTTAAATACACCTTTCTTTCCTTTGCATGCAGTATTTAAGTCGGATTGGGCGGGATCGGCCGACTATATCCTATAGCTGTCATATTAGTGATTGATCGAAAATGCTTTAACTTTGATGTTACTTTTTAGAGTTAGAGAGTTCTGATTTTCATGAGTGCTATTTTTGGAAAAAATTTTGGCGACCTACCAAATTTCATGAGGATTAGTTTTCTATATCCTATAGATGCCATATAACTGAACAATCGGAATTGACGCAACTTTCGTGTGTCTGAAGAGAGAAAGTTGAAAGTTCAGATTCTATTTTTGATCAGTTGATTCCCACTACCAAATTTCATAGCTATCGGCCGTCTATGTTTTATAGCTGGCGTAGAACTGAACAATCGGAAATGGTATTGGGTAAAAATACCAACTAAAAAAATACCAAATACCAAAAAATATTATTTAATTTCTTATTTGTACACATATAATATGTAACGTGACTATAAACAAGTAATATGACTATTTTCGTCAAATCGATAGTAATAATTATACTTGTGGTAACGGTTTCGTCACCAGTATTTTACCTTTTCAATATTTTAATTTTGTGTATTTAAATATGTATTAAACGTCCTTAATCGCTACCTGGGAAGAATTAACGGATTGGTTTAATTTTTATAATATACATATAATAATGTTTTTTAGGTGAACAACCTGCAGCCATGCAAACAAGTGGGTCGAGAAGGAAAGGTGCTTACACTCCAACGATTATATTCATATCAATAAAAATGTTGTTGTATATTTCACGTCTTTACATAGATGTTAATCCAAAAGGAAGATGACTAACTTTTCCATTTAAAATATTCCATTAAGGTAAGAAAACAAATCATAATCTTTAATAGTTTTAAATAAAAATTGAAAATCAAAAATAGTACTGATATACGGTACCTATGCATTTCGCCTTTTTTCCGCTACATAGTTAGGTTAACTTATATTGACTACGTTATTTGGTTCGTTGTATCTATTTTGGGTAATAACAATTACTAATACAAAAAATATTGATTTTAAAAGTGTTTTGTTCGGACTGGGGATTCATAGGCTCGACCTTATTTGCTGTGAGCTTAATTACTAACTATGCAAATTGACTACTTATTTCATATAAGAAAAATGGTCGCAAAAATTTCTTGAAACAGGCCCTAACAGGCCCCAGAGAGAATCTTACTCTATTTCTTAGGATAGAAATCCGTTGGTATTTTTCTATTTCTACCCGTTGGTAGCAAGCCTAAATAGTAACAAAAATTTAAACTTTTGCTGGCTTTGAAACAAAATTGAAAGCAAACACCTTCACCCATGGATGTGAATGTGTGAATACGCTTACATGTTAAAATCAGTTTCAGCGCGAAGCAATCTTTTTGATGATGAATATCAACCTTGCTACGACTGAACAGCCAACAACTTTCAAAAAAGTATGTGGGTAAGTAAGAGAGCAAGATTTTCTGTGGTGTCTGCTGAGGCCAGTAGCCAAAAATGTTGGATCCATTTTCGTTGTATAAAATTAGTTGTCTATATATTGTATCCTCAGCCGACTGAGGGCGCTGGTCGCGTGTCGTTGCGTCGGGTATGAATTTGAGAGTAAAGACAAGTGTGATAGATTACGAGGAAGAGTGTTGCTTGGGGGATTGGTGGTTGGTCATGGATTATGGATAGTAAGGGCTTGAGAACGGGCGGGACGGCCGCTAGGCATTGCTTCGCCCGCCGCAGGCCTCAACTCTCCACCCTACCGCCTCTCCTGCTCGATGCTCCTGAGCCTCTGCATTAAAGCTAAAGCAAAAGATGCTACTGCATCACAGAGCATCTGGTTCTCCATCATTACCTCCACAAGGTTTCCTGAGTGTAGTGAACGGCCCGCCGTCGTTTCTAGTCGGTGGCGCTCTCGTGCAAACCCGCGGCACTCGAAGAAAACGTGCTTGGCGTTCTCGACTATCGATCTCCCGCACTCCGGGCACCAGTCGTCCTTCGCATGGCCAAAAAGCTTTCGGTATTGCCGGAAGCAGCCATGACCACTCAAGACCTGGGTCAGATAAAAATCCACCTGCCCGTGGCTTCGCAGCACCCACCTTCTAAGGTTGGGAATGAGGGTGTGCGTCCATCGTCCCTTCGTCGACGAGTCCCAGCAATCCTGGCAGGCAGTGAGCGACCTCTCCTTGGCCTCCTCCCTTTTAGTTATGTCGAGGGCGCCACCAGCACCCTCATAGCGAGCTTCCTTTAGCCCCTTGAGGTCTCGAGCGCGCTCTTTCACCGGGACTATTCCCGCAATGACCAGAATGGCGTCGTCGGAGACTGTCCTGAAGCCGAACGCTACTCTAATGGCTCCCAGCATGTACGCTGCATCTACACCTCTCCTGTAGCTGTAGCTGCGTCTGCGAAGCCGACGACGTCGCATCCCGCTGGGAGCTACAGCCTTAGGATCCCGTCATACATGGCGTTCCACAGCAGCAGTCCTACACCGATCCTTGGGGCACACCCGCCGTAACGTCGTAGGACTCCGTGCCCATATCCGTGTCTACAAGTAGCACTCTGCTGCTGAAGTAACTACTGACAACGTTCATTATGGCACTGGGAACGTTAAGCCACGTTGAGTAGGGCTGCCAATGTTTTGCCCCAGTCCTCCGTGTTAAAGGCGTGTTGTATAGCTCCGCAAAACTGCCTGGCTGCAGTGCAAGAGCCAGCTTCAGGCCTTGGTTAAAAACCGAGTCTCAGCCGGGTGCTTTGTTGGGGGCTAGGCCTCTCCCTATGGCCAGAACTTCCTCTTCCTTTGCCCCCTCAGCCACTTCCATGTCAGCTGGGGGGGTGGGTAACTGGGTGACCTGTCTGCCGGCTGGGAACAGCGCTCGCACTATGGTCTTTAGTGCGTTCGAGACCGTGGGGGACTGGCCTCACTGCCTCTCGCTCGCTGCAGCCTCCTTGCTCTCATACACTCCGCTCGAATGGAGCCAATCTCGTCGCTTCACCAGTAAACGTGAGCGTGGTTTCTGTGGTAGCGGCTTCTCAACTGCATGCTCGCCATGCACGCTGCCTCAAGCTTAGCTGCCAGGGTGTCAGCCATTTCGGTGGCTTTGCTTGGTGGGACGTTGCCGATGTCGCGCGCTGCCTCGGTGCAGTTCCTCATCTGGAGCGTACCGACTCTGTACCCTCTGTCGTTCTTGAGGACTCCCAATTGAGCACAATTCTGCTTCGTGGTCACTGGCCATAAAACTGCCGCCTTTCTTCCAGTTAGCACCAGTTGCTAGCGAGGAGCTTGCGAACGTTAGATCTATGATGGATCCTGCTCCGGCTCTGCTGAAGGTGTGCTGGTTTTCCCTTATTTAGCAGTACGAGGTCGAGTGAGGCAAGGGTTTCTCTCACCACTCTCCCTCTCGTATTCGTCCTCTGACAGCCCCAGTCTTGAGCCCACGCGTTGAAGTCCCCTACTAAAAGGGCATCAGAACGGCCTCTGATGTCATTTCCCAGGCAGTCCATAATGCGCTCAAATTCATTGTTGGTTAGGCTAGGTGCCATATAGCAGCTGTAAAGCCATGCGTCGCCTTTCCAAGCCCTGACGAATCTCTCCGCACTGTGCACTGAGTGCATTGACGCGCCGGTTGCTCCGCAGCTCCAGATGGCAGCCTTGCCTGATAGGTCAACTGCCCAGCGGTTGTCTGAGCCAGCCCTATAGGCCTCGCTTTGGAGCGCTATGTCCACCTTCGTCTTCCTCACAGTTTGCGACAGCACATCTTGAGCCGCCCTGCAGTGGTTCAGGTTCAGCTGAAGCACTAGCATTCTGACGTCCTAGGTCCACCTCCTTTCGCTGACATGGGGCAGCTTCTGCTTCCAGTCTGATGCCTCACATTGCTCCCTAGGACCACTTGTAACATTTATAAATGTTATAAAATGTATAAAATATATAAATGGTTTTTTTTTAATTTTCAAGTGTTTTTGTTTTTTAATTTACATTTTAACTAATGAATTGGTTTTCTATATATTATTCGGAATCTGAAGATTCGTTTGAGTCGTTGTCAGATAAGTTTATGTTCTTCAAAATTGTGAAAAATACATATTCATTTAGCACCAACAATTTCCTTGATGCGACATTTTTGAAAAGCCACATGCAAAACAGAACGCGCTTCGGGACTGAAATTTTACCTAAAAAGTGGAATAAGCTTAAGAGTTGGACGTAGTTAGTTATCATATCGGACATTTTCACATCACAAGAACTCACACTTTACATAAATACTAAAATTAGCTTGAATACGATTGAATAACATTAATTACAGTCCAATAAAGACAGTAAAACGGTCAAAAACAATTCTTACTAAGTCAACTTAAAAATAACACATTTATTTTGTGTATAGTTTGGGGGGGCATAGTTTGGGGTGGGGGATATGGGGTTAATATGGCTTTGTATGCATTCAGCTTATTCCATAGTTTGCCATATATGGCTCTGTATGCATGTATACATTACTTCATGTGAAAGTTGGTGAAACAGTTTCTTTTGTCATTGTAGCATAGAAATACATTGAAATACATTCGAATACGGTGGTAAGTGACCGGCTTTCCATATCGGTGCTTCTGTCTTTTTTCTTGACACTCGCTTTGGCATGGCTTTAGAAGTGCACGGGTTTTCACAGATTTCATCGGAACTACTCTCATCGGTCTCCGAAATATAAACATCTTCCTCTTGGATTTTTTGATTTTCAACAACTTCGTCTTCGGAATAGGCTATGCTGTCATCTTCACTTAGAAACGGATCATCGATTTCGTTCGCGTATTGCAAACTACCGTAAAATAATTGTGCATTAATTTCTAAAAGAAAACAAGTGCAATTGTTAAGCTAATATGCTAAGAATGCATATGTACATAGAATATAAACATGCACGCGTTACTGCATTTTATTTATTTATTTATTTTATTTATTATTTATTTTTATTTTTTTTTTATGCTCACCTATAGTCAAATTCTATTTTTTATGAACGAAAACTTTATATTCTCTTAGAAAAAAAATACTTTTCAGTGATAAAACTGATTTTTAGTGTAGTAATTTTAATTTTAATTTCACCGCAATACACTTTCGTTCGTCTGCTTGAGGCGCGAGCACAAAACTGATTGAAATTTGAGATAAGGCAACACAAAGAAGTTCTGAGTATAGAAATCTTACAGAAAATAGTTGAAAGTGTAATAGGTGATAAGTGATAACAAACGGCTTAGTATATGTACCGTTTTTTTTTTCAAAAAAAAAATTATTGAAAGTGAGAAGCCATATATGGCTTTGTATGCGGTAAAGGGTTAAAATAGTCTGTTATTTTTTCTTAAAAAATTCTGCGTTGATATTGTGATCGAATAATTTGTTTTCCAAAGAATTCAGTGTTGGCAAAAATTCGTCACATTTGTGAATCATGCAAATGTTTTTAGGAATCTTCACTGCATAAAAACCTTCCTGGATAGTAGGGCGGCTTATGTCACCGCTATCCTCGTCACTTTCACTTTCACTGCTGATTGTCTTGTCATCTTCAAAAAGAGACTGCACAATTTCATCTCCGGTTAACTGACCGAACTAACAACATGACTAGCAACATCTGAGTCGACTTTGGCATATTCTTCTCAATTAATTTGAGCATCAAATGCGGTCTCCACGAATTTCGCTTCATCAGTAACGCTTTCGATAACATCAAAGCATAGATTAAATCCCGCCTGAAAAGATACATTTGTAAGTTGAGGCGAATGGGACTTACATATACATATGCCTTACTTACCTTCTTGAAGCAGTTCTAAATAGTTGTAGTTTTAACTTTCGCCCATCCTTGACTTATGATGTGAACAACATCCAGCAAAGATAG